CCCCCTCCCCCCTCCACTTCGGACAAAATTACAGCCCGATCGATCCGCATTTTCGGCCCACCTTCGGTCCGTCTTACATATATTTTCGCGCGCGGGTCAATTTTCAGCCTCGCGCTCAAACGGACACGCGCGGAACACCACGGTCTGCAACTGACACAAACTTAAACGCAGAGCCGGACTGGTGTGAGTTGGAGGCTCAGGCTCAGCATCCTTCTCCTGCCCACCCCCCACCAGCCTACCTCTCCCCCCTCTCTCATCCCTCCCCACGCGCCCTGATGATCGCTCCCCCCGTTGCCTCGCGCCGTCCTCGCACCTCTGACCGTTCCTCGCTTTAAACCGCTCGCGCGAACTAGACGTCACAGCAGCAGCAGCAAGTTGGGAGCGCGGAGTCCATGTCAACTTTTTTCTCACTTTCAGGATAACTTTAGTCCCGCGCGCTTCCTCGCCTCTCCATTTCCCTCCCCTGCAATTACCACCCCCTGCATCACGTCAACTCCTCACCAGAGTGGTTTTACGCAGCAGGAAGGATGTCCGATCCCCTGAAACTGCGCAATTAACCGCCAGTCCCTCTGCGCGCGCCTCCAGGTTTCCCGTCAGCTCGAGAGGGAGCTGCAGGACGAGTCGATGAAGGCGCACCGGTGAAGGTAAGTGTCTCCATTCCCTTTCAGACACGTGGGATTAATAACTTGGAAAGCCGCCAGAAAGTAGGGTCTCTTGGAGTATGGTGAGAGAGGAAACATGCGCACCTGCCGCAGAAATGCGTCTTGGAGTGAGCGCGGGTCGGGAAGTTTGCGGGTTTTCCACAGTAAACCTGATACATTTTTCTGGTTTAAATGAGCATTTTTTGCATCATGTAGGAGAGGAAAAAAATAAAAGAGCTGCAGACAAGCTTCGGGGAGAAGGAAAGTTACAAAGCACTAAGTGTGAATTTGTGGAATTACCTCTATTCAAAATAAAAAAAATAGCCATGGTCACATATTTTAGACCAAACAGTAAAAAAAAGGTCCAAGGATGTTCTAGAATGCACGTGTTGCTCTGTGTTTGAGCTGTAAACAAACAAACATCACTTTGTAAGATTTCCCCTGACCTTACCTCAGCTGCAGTCACATTCAACACGCGGATGCTGTGATGAAAGAGAATTCCACTCAGTTCCACAGCTCAGCATCGTTGTTGTGGCCTCGGGTGGTCCGTGCAGTTTTTGTGATTATGGAGAACTTCTACCCAAACAGAGGCAGCAGCAGAGAAGTGAGACTCTTGTCTTTGAAGCCCCACACTGAGGAGATGCTGCTTTGATGCAGTTGCGGACTGACTTTGTGAACTCTTACAGTGTTGGACTTTTTTTTWAATGCTGTTTTCGAGTGTTAATTTCAGTTATAAAAACAAGCGGATGTGTTGAAGAGGTCAAGGTCTCATCTGCCCTTTGGTTACATTTTCACTTACAGCAGCTGGTTGTAGTTTRCATCACATACAAACTCATTATTTGTGGACTAACAATATTTCTTTGCCACTTGGTAACATTTTGTATTTAGATTGGTTTGCCTTACACAAATAAGAAAAAAATTCAACCCATACTGACCTCTTTGTTATTATAAACATAMGTGTGCTCTCCCTTCATAATGAACCTTCTCCTGGTGTTTAAAGCTCCTCTGAATGCCATCAGCTTGACCTCGTCTTGAATTTCAAGTTCATGTCACTCAAGGTCAATAACATCACATGCTTCAGATTCCAATGGGCTGTATGAAATGATGGAAGTGCAACACTGCTGCTTTTGTAAACGTCATTCTTTCAGCTGCCCACCTCTTCAGGGGTTGCCACAGCAAACAATGAAAGTTTTTTTTTTTACATCAAACACCCTATCAGATGCAACCTGGGCTCAAACCTGCAGCCTCAAGATYATAAGACCCTGACCACTGAGCTACCATAGCAGCTGCTTTTGTGAAATATGACTAAAATAGTTACAAAATACTGAAAAGGCTGAATTCAAGACATGAGTTTTTGTATTTTAGMCCCCCAATTTGAACGTAAATCAGAAACACTGTCTTATTGGATGCTGCCATTTTCTGTTGTATGTTTTCAAATGAGGATGAACAGATACTTGATCTGATACTAACCAACTTGAGGTAGTTTTATTCATGTCTTAGTTTAAAAAAGTTAATTCAACTTACTTTGCAATTAAAACTCAGTGATATACTTAACACCCCACAAACAAACCCTAGAGAGACATTGACATTTATTTAAGTTTGTGAAGTTCTTCTGAGTGTCTTTGCAGTAGACAGAAGAGTGACCTCTACAGAACCAGGGGAAATAATGAAGAGGGTTTCTAATGAGGCCATCCAAAAAAAAAAAAAAGTTTTCATGCTATCTAAAATTGCTCTAATCACAAAGAACTCACAGCCGTTCGAGTGAATTCAAATTTTTAATAATTTTTACACCTTGTTACATTTGCATCAGATTAACAGTTCAAATTTAATTATAGTAAAAAAAGACAAGTCATAGGTTGGTTGTATATTTTATCCAGCAGGTAACAAAATCAGTCATGATTTGTCTTCCAGAGCAGCACATATTTTGGCTCTTTAAGGTAAAGTCATAATGAAGCCAACATTTGCAAAAGCGTTAGCATGTTAGCAGGCAACGGCTAACATCAACTCATCAGGTTCTCAACATCGCTTTACAAAGAGCAGAATGGCAAAGCGAGCAATGAGCCCAGTTATTGTAGGACAGTGGTGTCCAGTTCGAGGACCAGTATCCTCCATGATTTAGACGTTTCTCTGTTTTTCCATCGTGTTCTGCAGAAACCTGTTAATTACTCATTCATTCAAATCAGGTGTGACAAAAACAGACAAAYGTCTACATGCAGGGTATAAAAAGTACTTAGAATATTTAAAATATACGTATATCTGCTGCTGTTGTTCAGTTTGCCACTTGTGTCTCTTGGAGCTGACAAAGGAAGATGATAACTTTTTTTCTTTTCATAATTTTTATAATTAGAAACATCTAATTTTTATGAAACAGGATACCCAAACATAAAACAATAATCAGGAGAGAAGCATTATTTATGTGAAAAACTGCCAAAAAGTATCATTCAACAGGCTGCTTAGGGTCAATTATATTCAGTTCTCTCCTTACTCAGTTAAAAAATGTTTTTAGACATACTTTTGACTTGTGTTAAATAAAAAAATATATAATCAATGCTTGTGTGTAAATTAAATATGTAAACTTGATTCTAAATTTCATTGTAAATAAAATGTAAATGGAAAAGTTGGTCACAAATGGGTTTAAAATAGTGCAGATAGTTGAACATGGAGAGTGTCAACATGTTAATTTCTGTCAGGCTTCTTATTTTAATCTGTGCCTTAAAACAATATGAATAAATATATTAAAGTAAGTCATACCTATAATCCCTATTAAGCGATATCTGATATTATTAAGATATTATTAAGACAACAATGGTAATAGCTTATACTTTTCTGTTTTTAAATAAAAACAAATAAAACATAATTTTGAATTTTTGTTTTGGCTTAACTGTGGCATTGTTACTCAAGCTCATCATTATTAACACAACCCAATATAAAAAGGGATAAATCTGAACTATCAATAATTTTTGCATAGAGAGAATCTTATTTTGTCTACAAGAACCTAAACTCACATCTAAGAAAGGACCCAGTTTCCCCTAAAATCCTGGCAGAACGGTTCTCATTGCAGTTCTGATGCTTTCTTTTTTTGTTGTCAACGTCCCAGTACCCCCGCCATTTTGCCGATTTCCCGTCTTCCAGAAAGATTCTGTCTTATTGACGATGATAATGTGTTGATCAATATGGTAGCTTCGTGCGTATTCTAAACAACATTATATCCACAGCCGGTGTGAGGCTCGGAGAGAGTCCGCTGCAAGGGAGTGTCCCTGCATTGATTATGTATTAGCTACACAACTTCCAACATTCAGCCGCTTGTTTGTAAACGGTGGTCTATTTCCGAGCTATTCAAACGACCACTAAGCGTGGGAAGCCAATATTTATAGAGGCTTCAACAGGTTCATTATCGTCAGCGTGGATGGTTCCACAGGGGGTTGGAGCACTCGTAAAGGGCCTATAGCAGAGCTAGTCCCAATCCGCTGAGCATTAGACAGCACAGTCAATGACTCAAATCATTCCTCATCCTCTTTATGGCCGCACGGACGTTTACAGCTGTTAAGGGGTTAAAATGAAAACATTAACAGATGCAAAGAGCGATCAACGGTCAGTCTGTGTGAAGACTATAATCCACTCTGGGACAAACAGAGCCTCTACAGGRTTTTACATGGGGTCAGGTCTTGCTGGTTCTAAGAAAGTAATTAGTGAAATGTCCTTTTGGCTAAATAAAAGGTCCAAATGTTGTCAGTCAATTAAACCTGATATGTTGGAGTTCAGGTAAAATTCATATAAACAGAGAAATTCTATTTTTCCTCTAATTAATGTGTATTTGTTCATCGTTTAGAGTAAGACTTTCTGTCTGAGGATGACAGAATCCAATTCCAATGGTCTTTATATTGCCGTTCAAATTTTATATTGTCTTTTTTTATGCTCTATTAATCCACAACGAGGAAATTTATACCCTGATTTTTTTCTATTTGTAAATATGAGCATTATTTTTCCCAGCTAATTTTTTAATGCCCATCTTTGGATTCAAATCTGTGACYTCTCGAACACAAGCTCACTTTCTCTAACCTCAAACACTCTCCTTTTCTCCATTACCTTTCATCTTCCTGACTCATGCCTCCTTCAGCCCTGTTGAGGTTTTGTTTCGTGCGAGTCCGAAACAATCTACTCGTGTTGCCTCTTCTCCTCCATTCCCATATTTAGCTCCTCCCCAAAGCAGCCTTTCCCTTCAAAACTGTACAAACCCTGTTTTGGAATCACTGACCCCCCTCGGCTCGTCTCTCTCCCTTAACCGCTTCCCACTTAACCCCATATTTCACAGCTGACATACGGCTAATTTCGCCCCAGTCCTCCGAACAGAGCTCTCTATACTGCTCGAGCACGCTTAATTACCCACAATTAAAGCCAAACGCTAACGAGAAAATTGCTCTGTTATTAAATGACTTCAAAAGGACTAGGATAAGTAGAATGGATTGAAGGAAAAGTTGGTCGGTAGCCTCGGGTGGCAGGGAAGATCTTCTCTCMCGTGTTTTTCCGCTTTGAGCTGTCTCAGTAGACGATGGAGAGCAAAGATTCCACTGGCGGCACCTGAAGCTATAGACATCAGTACTCAATGGCTATACTGGGATAGGACAAGTATTCACTTTAATAATGGAGAAGTGAATCAGTGAATGCTTTGTTGTGAAAGGGAAACAACTTTGGCTTTCACGTTGGCTTTTTTAATCACAGCAGCTGAAAATATACGCCAGTTTCTTAAAGGTGCAATAATTCAGGTTCTTTACAATAAACCTGAATTATGCTCTGCTGAAAAGGTTCTGAAACCACGAAGAAAAACCTGCTGTTCTTAACATCACTCGTTCCCAATAAAAGGGTAACAATGCAAAAGATTTAAGGTTCAACGCTAAAGAACAAGCTCTAGTCATGCAGCTCTTCTCGGATTTCTCCCGGCTCTCCAGTGGCTGCTTGCCAAGCGCTTCAGCCATCCTTGAAAATACAGTTTTCATTGTTGATGT